TGATATTCTCGAGTACAAGCTGAAAGTGAGAATCAGCCCTCTTTATAAGCAAGGGTAACTTCGATTACGGAGTAAGTAACACGAGCCTCGAAGATCGATCACTTCAAGCTTGACAGTTCATCGTCCCAGGCCCTTGGTTCGGATCGCCAAGTGTTTTTCGTGATACCCGGCAAGGTAGCATTGCAACTCGATACGCGATTGCGGATAATGAGTGAGCTGGAGGCTGGGTGGGGTTCTATAACCCCTGTCGTCCAATGCCTTGGAAGCAGAGCTTCCCGGATTGGAGCAAAGTCGCTAATTCTCAAAGAGCTACTATGCTCCACCGACGTCATACATTTACACACGACATGCGATTCATCTACAATTCCAGCTGAAAGGGGAGAAACGTAGGTAAGGGTATGATGCAAATCTGTCAAACCAAAAGCATGCTTTTCTTTAGCTTACATAGCTCTGTACTGGTAGAAAACGTAGAGTAGTTTTCTTTAGTAATTTAATTCCCTCTCTGTTCCATACTCTGGTATTCTTAACATTCTAGGACAATTGTTTCGCTGCTATTGCTCTCCTAAGGCAGCTTCACGAGTGAGGGGCGGAAGGGCATTCCTACCTATAGTATATTAATTGCTACCTACCTATACGTATACTCGTTAGAAAGGGCTCTTCTATGCACTCTAAAACCTCTTCGTAACGTTAATCGCCATGGCTTCCGAGGAGCAGCACCAGTATCCTGCAGGCGGCCATTACTCAGGCCGCAACCGGATTCCCAACATTAAAGAATTTGTTGCGGGGCTCGATAAGGACAAGAAGGAGCGAGACGCCAAAATTGACGCCGACGTCAAAACGAATAAGAAGGATGGGGATATTCAGGAACACAAGAACAATGTCGACCAATACAAGGGCAAGGGCAGACAGGTCACGGATCCTGTCACGGGGAACCAAGTCACCATCGACGATGTCAACACGGATTTCATGAAGGCCGTAGAGCAGCCTTTCGTAAGTCAATTGGGTTGCCCATATAGTGAAATTTTGAGTGCTGACCGAGTTTTCGTTTAGCTTTCCGTACCGAATGCGAATCTGGGCAAGGAAACGACAGTAAAAACCGAAGCGACGCAGTCAGGGGAAGAGTACAGACAAGCTCAAGATATAACAGCACCACCGGACCCGGTAGCTACTGGGGCCACATCAGACGTTCCAATCCACGGCGAGAAGACGAATATCCTCTTTCACCCGACTCCGTCCGTGAGCTATGAGCCTATGTACGCTATTATCGAGCAGAGGGCGATGGTTCTATGTATCGGTGTCTTCTTCGGCATCATCTTCGTGGGCAAGTTCTTCGGAGGCAGGCTGCTAGGCTTGATACCCCTTGCTATATGCGTCTCTTCTGGTATTTTCCTGTGGATGAAGGACTTGGTTAAACAAGGACGAGACATTGAATGGTCCAGCGAACAGAAACGTGGCGAAACTGCCGTTGCTAATTTGATCCCCGAATCTGTCGAATGGATGAATACTCTCCTGGGTATTATTTGGGGTCTGATCAATCCCGATATGTTTGCCGCTGTAGCCGACACCCTCGAGGTATGCCCTATATGTATTATTTGATGTTTTAAACACACTAACAAAAGGAAGGACGTCATGCAAGCCTCAGTTCCGGGAATCATTGAGAATGTCAAGGTGGCCGATATTAACCAGGGGAACAACCCTCTTCGAATTCTGAGTCTCCGCGCTCTTCCCGACGCTCACATGAAGGATTTGAAGGATGAGATGCACCGAGAAAATGAAAAGATTAAAGATCCGCAGGAACTCGCCGCTGACGAGGAGGGTGGCGACTACTACAACTTGGAGGCGTCCTTTGCATACCACGCAAAACCCTCGGCTGGCGAATCCATGTCGGCGAAAGCCCAAAACATGGGCATGCAATTGGTATTCTACCTTGGCATCAAGGGGTTGTTTGGCATTCCCCTGCCTATCTGTAAGTTTTCAAACTGGATACTTTTGACTCAATTATTAACCGTATTTAGGGGTCGAATTGACTGGGTTGGTAGGAACTGTGCGACTTAGACTTCAAATGACCCCTGAGCCACCATTCCTCAAAGCGGTCACTATCACGCTTATGGGAGTTCCCAAGGTCCAGGCTGGTTGCACCCCCATGATTGAACGAGGAGTCAACATCCTCAATCTACCAGTCATCTCGAACTTTGTCAACTGGGCTATCAAGACTGCTTGCAGCATGTATGTTGCGCCCAAGTCTTTGACCCTTGACCTCGGTAAGATGCTATCAGGAGACGATATCCAGAAGGAGACCAACGCTATGGGCATACTCTTCATCCGAATCCACAAGGCTGTTGGCTTGTCGAAGCAAGATCGACGGGGATCCGAAGGCGGTGGCTCCGATCCCTACATTACTGTATCCTTCTCCAAGTTCGGCAAACCTATGTACTGCACTCGTGTTATCCAGGATGACCTCAACCCTGTGTTTGAGGAGACTTGTGCTCTTGCCGTCACCTCCGATCTTATCAAAGTAGACGAGCAGTTGTCTATGGAACTGTGGGACAGTGACCGGTCGAGCGCCGACGATGTAGTCGGCAAAGTCGAGCTTTCTCTCCAAAAACTAATTCAACATCCTGGCAAGATGTACCAGCAGGTTTCGAAACTTCGCGGCGTCAAAGCCGATAGTAACATGCCGGGCGAGCTCCACTGGGAAGTCGGCTACTTCGGCAAGACTCAGTTCCGCGCCGCTTTGCGGACGGATGGTAAGGACCTCAATTTACCCAAGGAGATTCGAGACAACAAGGAATTGCAAGACGACAAGGGAGCTATCCAGAACAACGAGGAAGATGCTGTTATACATACACCTCCGGACCCCCTTTGGCCCTCTGGTGTTCTCAGTATTGTCGTCCATCAGATCGTCAACCTCGAGTTAGCCAACGTCAAGGGATCGGAAGGCGGGAAGCGCAAGGGGGGCAGGGAATATGAGCCTGCTCGCGACGCTGGTGAGGCCACGGAGGAGTCTAGCAAGAAGTTACCAAATGCTTACTGCACTATTTTGCTCAACGACGAATTAGTAGGTTTTCCTCGCTTCTCATGCTCTTCTGAAACTAACGCAGTCATAAAGGTCTACAAGACGCGAACGAAGGTCGTCTCTTCCAAGCCCATCTTTAACGCCGGCACCGAGCGTTTTGTTCGGGACTGGAAGTCTGCTATCGTCACCGTCACGGTTCGCGACTCGCGGAACAGGCAACATGATCCTATTATTGGCGTTGTTCCCTTGAAGCTTTCTGATCTCATGCAGACGAGCAGCCAAGTGAGTTGAAGGGAAATTCTATACTAAATGTCGGACAAAAGCTAACACTGAATCTTTAGGTCACACGATGGTACCCATTGGACGGTGGCGTCGGCTTTGGCCGTGTTCGTATCTCTCTACTGTTCCGATCTGTCGAACTCAAGTTGCCACCGAGTCAACTCGGCTGGGACGTCGGAACTTTCGAGTTCACTTCAGAAAAGATCAGCTCAACCTTCACAGGTTCGGGCAAGGGTAAAGTCAAGCTACGGTTGAGGACAGGCGGCAGCTCTGTGGTGGTTAAGCGAGAGCAGTGCACCGCGGAAAGTGAAAACCTGGTGGAGTGGAATATCAACGGCGTAACAAATAACCCGCGACCACGCCTGCCAGTCCGGTACCGATACAGGTCTCCGGTCTTCTTTGAATTCCACCTCCCCGGAAAGCGTCACGTCGAGCACTTTGCGGCAGTCTGGTTGCAAGAACTGGCCGACAGCGAGGATAAGGACTTTGATATCCCAGTCTGGAAGTGCGACAACGCCATGCGTCTATCGCAAAACTTCATCACGCCTGGCAACTTTAATACAATTCCGGATATCAAAATTGAAGAGGTTGGCCGTCTCCGCTTCCGTGGTCGATTCAAGGCTGGCACAGACCGCGACCATCTCCGTTTCGTGAGCGACAATGACTCACGTGAGACCATCGAGACCTGGGAGGCTTGCTACGCCGAGGGTGTTCGCCAGGAGGAGGTAACCAGCGTCGTTCCCCCTTCAGTACAGAAGCTGCACGACGACTCGCTGACCCACGCCCGTGACGTCCTCGCCACGGCTTCCGAAGAGGACAGGCGCAAGTGGCTGTCCAAGGACGGCACCGACTGGAGTGGTGCGTTCGGCAAGGACCCCACCGAGTTCATGACAGGCCGCGAGGGCCGCGAGGAAACGGAGTACGAATCAGACGACTCCTCAGCGGACATCAACGGCGACGCCAGCGAGCCCAACTCACCCACCCAGAAGATCCAGCACGGGAACACGGACCTCGGCATCAACGACGCCACGACGTCGCCCCGGGAAAGCGCAGACAGCTCCGCTCCGGGACGGCCGAGCACAGCCAGCGGTCGCGGGAGCGCCCTGACGCAGGCCACGACCAACGGGACGACGGACTCGAGCAAGAGCCGCAGCAGCAAGAACCCCATCAAGCAGTACAAGGACTACCGGGAGCGGAGCCGCGACCTGCACCGCCAGCACCGCGGGCTCATGCAGTGGAAGCCCCTGCGCAACGTGCAGTTCGCTAAGGACGAGGCCAAGTACGCGGTCAGGCGGGTCACGCAGATGGGGTCGCTCAGCGGACGGCAGCCGGATGTTGAGACGGAGGTGTGAGGTTGAAGGATTTCTTTTGTTTAAAATGAAAGGAAATGGAATGAAATACTATACCGGGATAACGGATGAGCTGGAGGGATGCTGGGAGGTTGGTGGTTAGTAATCAGGCACGTCGTAATGGACATGATGCAACGGACACGATGCAACTTGTTACAGTATTGTATTGTATAACGTATAGTTTTTAGTACACAATGAGTAGGTAGGTATGAAATGGAAAAGTTGTAATCTTGATCAAATCTTATTCTCCATGCTGCTATCATAAAACTCTGGTAAATTGAGTTTGCGCGATATGGATATCAATGGGGTTACACCTTCAAACAAACACGAGAGAAAGACTTATAAGGAAGTATTAGGGCGCGGTGGCAGAGTTGGTTATTGCGTAAGACTAGAATTATCATGTTTCAAATCTTATTCCTTCGGGAGCGCAGGTTCGAATCCTGTCCGCGTCGCTTGATTTTTTTTTCCCTTTCATTCTTTAATAGTTAGAAATAATTGAAGATAGCGAATACTTAGGAGCGCAAAGAGTTCCACATGACAGGAGATGGAATGGAAGCTCGGTGGTCATTGGGAAAATCTATCAAAAAAAATGCATGTAGGCCAACAAGATAAGCCGTGGTCCTTTGGAGGAAAAGGAGGCCATGGAGAATAGGATGTGGTCTTGGGGGTCTCTCTTCCTTGACTGAAAATTGAGATATACCATGGGAATCAAGGCAGATATCTCAGAGTGTATGCAAGGTGTTGATCGATGGAAAATAGAGAAGTGGGATGGGGTAAAAGGGGGAATAGACAAAGACCATGCACTCGGTCTTGCTTGGTTAATTTCTTGTATTTGGTAAGTAGGTGCGCAGGTATCCTGCCATTGCTACTGTCGGCTACCTTCTCATGGTACCTGATATATATATGTTCATCTCATCTGTGTTCATATACATTTCCCCTACACTTTATGCGCCGGTCGCTTCCGTATGATACACGTCTTTGTACAAATCGGAGCGATTGAGAGTCGTATGAAGGGGTGTCGTCTCGTTGGGCGTCGCTCGTGTCCTCGTCCCGCTGTCTCTTCATTATGAAGAATTCTTTTCCCGGGCCAATGGATAGGGCCGGGATTACTATCCATCATCCTACCCTTACATTTACTGGTTAGCCATCTTGATGGCCTCAGCCTCTTGCCGAGCCGTAGCCAGCATGCGCTCCTCGCGCCTCTTGTCGTCGAGGTACTTCTTGACGATGGAGCGGTCGACGGCGGCCCGCTGGTTGAGGTCCTCGACCTGGCGCATCTCGACCTGCTCGTCGGGAGTCGGGTGGACGGGGACGGCGCCTGTCTTGGCTATGAACTCGGTTAGGATCTGGTCCGAGTGCACGTTCTTCATGTCGATGGTGACGACGCGCTCGCCTTCCTCAGGGTCGGGCGCCGGGTGCTCATTCTCCGTGCTTGAGTGCGGTTGTTGCGCTAAGGGAAGTGTGCTGAGCTTGCTGGTAAGGGCGGAGGGCGTGTCGGAGGAGAGCGAGGCTTGACGGAAGTAGATGGACATCTTGGCGGGCGCGGACTGGTCGGGCGTCCGGTTCACCAGCATCGGGATTGCTGGGTTCCAGAATTTGAGACGAGGGAGGCATATCTTCCAGAATTTTCTGTGATGGTCAGCCATACGTGGTCTACCAGCCATTAGAGGTTTTGTATCTCTACCTAGGCCCGAAGTGTCCGTCATTCCACTTCATGGCAAAGTCCATATGTATTCGTGTAATCTCAGGTGGTAATATCGCTGCTCCGGGGCCATGCCGTAACGCCAACAGCTACATGAGTGCTTCCGTTAGAATTTGGATTCTCGGAAATTTTCATCGGTTACATGCTTTACCTTCTAGACTGATATGTTAGCAGCAGATTAGAGAAATGGAAAGAGAAGAGGAAAACAGTCTTACGGCTTGTAATCTGTGCATCCGCTTTCCTGGGTTCACCATCTTGACAACCGTCGTGCGAGCTCGACTTGGCTCGCATTCAAGTTTTCAATATGGTGTCGAAATGAAAAAGTACCAAGCTGAGTCTTCAAATTCAATTCAATGCAATTGAAAATTTGGGGCCCCTGGTCAATGCGGGCCGTTGAAAGACCCGATGCACATAGAAGGTATATTGTTTAAGTAGATAAATGCCTCTATCCAGTATTGGACTACCCCATGAATTCGCCGTAACTAACTAAAAGAGCGAGAATCAACTACATAATTTCACATCAACTTCTATCTGTAAAGTTGCGGTATCGACTTTTTATTCACATCATATTGGCTACGGCCCAACCCTTGCAAATCCTTCAATTTCAAATCCTATATTGAGCTTATATGCCTCATTATACATAGCTATTCTTGATGAGGACGCGATGGCAATCCATGTAACGTGAAGCCGTGAGGATTTGCAGAATCAACGGTCGAAGTGTTTTGTGGCTCGTCCCTCTTGTTTAACGAGTCAGTTTCTGACTTTGTCTCCAGTACATTCTTATCACGTAACTGCTTATCATAGTACTCATGCACCACATCACCGCGAGGCATGTTGCCGTCGACCCTTTCGCGCCACAACTGAAACCATTCTGGTGGGTCAGGACGTGTTCGAGTAACTGAACCGAGCCATCCCTCATTGAAGCGGCGCATGTGTGCAAATTCCACCTGTAAGCCGCCAGTGGCCGTGGACAATAGAAAGCTCATAGGCAGTTTGGTTTTCTGCTCTTCAAGGACTTTGTTCGCGACTTCGACACTGCGTGATAGAAAGGATGCGCAGAATATCGGACCTGGTAGCGTATTCATCTCTACAGAGATTTGCTTGTCCACAGACCAGGCTTCGAGCCATAGCTCGTTAGGGCTGACCTTATCAACAAAATGGCGAAGCCAGAGATGCCACAAAGCATCGTTCCAGAGTCGCCGGTTCGTTCGGGGGATAGATGTACCCTCGCCGCGAGTTTCAGGAATGCCATGATCGACGTCCTGGGAGATGGAGTTCGGATCGTAGTCAGGAGGAAATTTGAAGGTCAATATAGCTATTGGCCCGTACCCCTCATGCGGAGGAGAGTGAAAGCCACTCTTTGGCCAATGATAATCGTAAAGAATGGGCTGGCTTGAAATGGAGATGATGCCATCCCATGCATTCTTGAGCGTTCTGAATTCTGTGCTAGTTTCGAATGCGAGGAAAGCTTCCTGCGTACTCCAGTCTACAGCACCTGGTCAAAAACGAGTCTATTGTTTGAGGCAACAGATTCTCTGCGCCTACCGATGATTAATTTTACCCGCGAAGAATCATGAATAACACCCCAGCTAACCGAGGCTATGTGCTCATATTCTACATACGTCTTGATAGTATCGGCCCACTGCAATTACCGTCATCAGCAGAAAGAACGAGAGCATCTGGAATTATTATTTACTTACAACACTGCCAAGGGGGCTCGTGGCATCTTCAAGGTCGCCGGACTTGGCGTCGAAGGATAGTGTCTTGAACTCAGTGAATGCGTACAGCCCCATCATTGGATGTTGAAGGGTTGACTAGGTAGAATTCTAACAAAGCATCCGACTTTACTTAATTAGTATTGGGTTAAGAAGCAAAAAGCATTGGAGTTTTCGTATTTTTACAATACCTACTTTCAGACCTGTTAGGTGTAAATATCATTTTGCCACCAACCGTGCCTGAAAGGATTGGCCTGTTGGAAGACTTCACCTGCGCCTCTTTCTTGATGAGCCTATAGCATTTAACAACAACGATGTATGTAGGAGATCTCCCACATCCCTCAAGCTAGATGATCCAAACTTATGGTGACGCTCTAGGTAACTGATTGCTGATTAACGGTGGTTCAACCCTTTCCTAGGAGATAATTATAGGTTCTTAAGTCAGCCTAACTACCACTATGTCCTAACTAGCGCACAGAACACCGTCCGACATCCCGAAATTAATGGGGTTCTGTAAGCCCATAAGTTCGGATTGTGTTTTGACCTTCTGCACTGCTGCTCAACTCTCTCCACACCACTTCGCGGGTAGCAGCCCTGCCATTATCATCATAAAAGATCCAGTCGGGCCTAGAGATGGCCACCGCGATTAATGCTACTGATTCTGGATTTCGACTACCAGTATCTGGGTGCTTTATACAATTATTCCAAGTGTAGTTCTCGTCCGCGCCTTGCAGATCTAAACGCTCGAGTCAGCAAGAGGCTACGCAGTAATTATGGCATCTATTTGCCAAGAACTTACTTTGTACTTCTCCTTTTGCGTTGGGTCCGCGGTGCATCAGTTCATGGAACAACGTCCCACCGTTGCTGTAATAGTTGTCGATCCCAATGGCTTCTACGGGGTGCCAGTCGCTAAGAAAACGTCTCCGAAAGGTCTTCGTACATAGAACGACGTACTCCCAATTCTCCACCTCGACCGGCACTTTGAAGCCGTACCCGGCAGGTGCCCAAACACCGGGGGTTGGATTGCCTGGGCCACAGTCCCCGAGTGTATTTGCCATTTCTCCTGTGTATACAATGGTATTTCCCGTTGCTTTGAGCCCTTCAATGAGACATTGAATTAGTTTTCCAAGCTCCTTCTTTCGCCCGGGAACCACTTACTGCGAACTTTGCCATTCCCTTGAGGATACACAAGACCTTCATCATTGCATATGATGTAAATGTTTTCCTCCCAAGTCCGAACTTGTGTTATCCGTCTGAGGTTATCTGCAGGGATTCGTGTTTAGTTGAACCAACTACGAAGAAGTCGGATATAGGCAGAAGCCCTTACCCATGACCTGGCCGTAAGCTTTATCACTCTTGCCGAAGAGCTTTTCAAAAGGATAAAAGACTCTAAACCATTCCCATTTATCGTTTTGATTCGGGTTTTGAATAGCGTGCATAGCATTGTTTGCCATGTCGATCCCCTCGTCGAGGAGCTTTGCTGTGGCTTGATCGAAAGTCAAGCCGGTACCCTCCGTTAGGACCTGGCAAGTGTCGTCCCACCTGACCTCTGCTGAGGCATGTTGTGCATATAGGGCTGCTGTGAGGACGCACACTACCTTGAGCAATGCTGTCATTTTGATGTTTAAGAAATCGTACCGTTTATCTCTTTAAAAAACGAAGGGGATATTTGGCTTGTTGAATGCAAAACTTATCTCGGCTTTAGAACGTGGTCAACCTCACTTAAATAAGGCCTGCATTTCAAACGCGATGGCAGTCTGGCTAATGACGTACATAGCTTCATTCTGTTTACCTTGAAGATACCCCCGAAGAACAATCAGCTTCGCCGCTAGCATCATGCCATCTTCGATCCTACTGACCAAAGTAGTCAGTCGGGCACGATCAAAATAGCAACGATGTTGGCTACGAATACATCTGTTTTGCATAATGGTAGGTGGTTGGTTTCCACTTCTACAGTTGGAGGCACCTTGGCGGAATAACGACAGCCTTTTGCTGCAGCGATATATTTTCCACCACCTGCCTTCCTACCTATCTA